ATAAAGATTATCAGCATGAAACTTAATACTTGGTGGTGGAGAATTAGCAATTTTGAACGCAACAGTTAAAACCTTACCTACGCAAAAAATGCACTGTTACGAACTTCCTAGCTCGAATTGCTTATTGTGTGATTAGGCCGAGCCGAGTTTAAGTTGTTACTTATTATTCTGCATGCCGTTCGTTCGGCGGAGAATCTGATCGGTTATATATGGTCACAAGAAATTTCTCACTGAAATATATGTTCGAAAAATTTGAGTGTAATACTCTCGCTAAATTGCTTCATGTTTTTTCCGGAAATGTTTAGGAACAGAAAAAGGATGAGGCGGCTGCGTGGCCATCTCTCACGATGGCTCTGTTCATTACGAAACCCATCCCATTTGTTCGAGAATTCTTCGCTGCTGTCGCGCGCTTCTCGTATCCCGCTTCAAGAATCGACCTCTATATTTACAACAATCAGCAGTACAACGAGAAGGATGTTAGTAACGCGATAAAAAATTTTTAAACTTTAAGCAATTTCAAGTGGAACAGTTTTGGTTCGGAACTGGACATTTGAACTTACAGCAAGTTTTCCAGAGTTTTAAATATCTTCTGGAATTATGTTGATGAATCTAGGGATATTAAAGTTGGTACGCTGATACATATTTTCTTCGTGAATTAATATTGCTAAAATTCATTTTCAGCGTATTTGTCGAAATTATCATTTTGAATAGTTGCCTTCAAGTAAGATATGCACCTGCATTCTTACGTTCAGGTAGAGGAGTTCGTGACGAGTGCGCGAAAAATGTACAGAACAGTGGAGTTCGACAACAGCGATACTGCTGAGTTGGGCGAACGAGAAGCAAGAAAAACCGCCATGTTTGTTTCATTTTTTATGCGTGTTGCATTTTTGTCAAAAGTTCTTTGTTTGTATGTTTGTGTTCGGAGGAGAGAGTGAACTGTGTTCCCCATTTTCGAAACTAAGCAACTGGAAAAGCTAGGAGTTTTAGTAATTGGCCAGAAGTTTCTCCGAGAATATTCAATTTACCAGTTCAAAATTTTGGATTCAGCCTCGAGACTCGCAGTCAAAGTTTTAGTTTGCGATAATATTAACACCCGTCCACTCTACAACCAAACAGGCGGGGAACAGTAGTTTTGTGAGGATGTTGACTGTCCATGTGCAATTTTGTAATTTTAATATTATCTTTTACTTTCGCATCTGCCCTGCGCACGGACACGTCAAGTGTTCAGATTGCAACACTTTTGTCATCCTTCTTCTTCGGACAGTCAAGAAAGCAGAAATTTTGCGAAAATGCTTGCATATCTTGTGAGTCACTGAAAGCTTGAAATCATCGTAAATGTCTGTATCTTGCTTACGGATACTGCGAACTTGAAGATGCTTTTCCTCGCAATACCGTTCAAAACGCAGTAATTATGTACGTTGGAGGATAAGATTTCACGCGGCCCCGCAATGCAACACTACTATCTCAGTCGGCCTTTCTGCTGCATGCAAGAAAATGTCAAAATATTGCTAACATGAATGCGCATGTTATGTTGTAAAACAAAAACCGTTCATACTGTTAACGATCTGACCACTTCAAGTTCAGCTGAAAAATGCATAACCACAATGAAAAGCTTGGTGGGCGTTGCTACCTAGATTTATGTCTTGAAAAAGATCTTATGTAAATTTCAGTTAGCTAGTCGCTTCTTTAAATTTTTCAAGCATTTGATTTTTATGCGTTTTTTGCAGCAATGCAATGCGAAAAACGCATATTGACGAGAGGTTGTCTG